TATCGCGAAGATGGTGGATGGGTGCAACGGTGGCGGGATCACTTATGGAGGACGAAGTAATGGTGATGGCGGGAACGAATGGGAACTTCTCGTTTCACTCGCTGTTGGCCCGATTCACATATCGAATTGTCATTCGTATCCTTCCTCTTGTAACAATCATCAATTGGCCAACGGTAGTAATTATTTACCGAAGCCCGCCGATCCTTCATCCTCCACCAAAGATTTAGATTCGGATTCTCGTAAAAAATGCTGCTGGGGCGTTGATAATTATCTCCTTCATAATCATGGCGCCTTTGTGTTTTCCAGTGGGAAATACTTGCTTATTAAAGAATTATGGGATGTCGGAATTCCCGGAAAAGTTTGGGATTCAGCATTTGTTATGGTTCAGATGTTCCAGGACAAAATCCTTTTCGACTGAGGGTACCGGAAATCGCTTTACCATCGGCACGCACCACACGAAACTCAAGACCACCTTTCCCTCCAGACTGTACACCGGCCCATTCGGTAAATTTCAAGCCGCTCCATTCGCATGATTCTACGCTCATGGGTCTTACTTCAACTTTAAAATCTACTTTGATATTATTGTCATCAATTCCTAATAACTTCACTCCAAGCGAATACCCCTCGACACCTTGCATGTCCTCTCTTTTGAAGAGGCCCATCTCACTGACGAGCATGAGATCCATGGTATACCACATGCCAATGTGTATATTCGGATGCAGAGGACGGCGTAGTAGCAATCGATAATGAAACCTTTTTCCCGATTCACTAAAAGCACTTGCATCATCGTCGATCAAACGGAAAGCATGCAGCGCATTATTACGACGCGAAATTTCTTTGTTCACTAGTTCGGTGGCCCGACAAAGACGATCCGAAACACTGTTCGAATTAATCGTGATTGTGTTTTTCGCCGATATGATAAATAGCGGAGGGACATACGGGAAAACGGTGAAAATCATGCTTTCGGAATGCACAGTATTGTTTCGGACCAATAATTTTAGTTCCTCCAAGTCTTTCTTGACCTTTTCCCAGTTATCAAGAGATTCATGGGCTGAGCTCCGAAGCCAGAGAGCCAAGCAACGAGAAATAAAATAAATTCCGTGGATCTCGGGAGAAGGCGGCACCGAAGTTCGTTTCAATACTTCGGTTGTATTAGATACAACGTATTCGAACTCGCGAAGTTGCTGAAAGCACATAGCTCGCGCTAGGAGAAAAAGTTCACGCGAATAACCTTCAAATTCCGCGGTGTTATTCAGCAGCGAAGTAAGAAGATTGATAGCAGTAGTGTAGTCTCCGGCGTCGTAGGCCAGGTTAACTCCCTCGAACTTGATAGGCTTACGAAAATCTTCCCAGTAAGGAAGATTTTGAGGTTTACGAACCGAAGAAGGTTGCATTCTTATTTCGACCACCTAAAGTTTGGGAGGGAGGTAAACTTTGGGTTTCATTGAAACGGATGCTTCAAAACGTGTACATTTGCATTTCATAATTCTTACGTTTGGCCAATCAGGCTATATTATGTAGATTTAAATTGTTAAAGATTTCTTTTCGCGATCGCTTTTTTTCAAGTTCTCGGAAAAACTTGAGTAAAATCGCCAATATGGAATCGTGATTATATATTAGGAAGAGATGCAGTGTGAATTTTATTCTAAATTTGGATCCCTACATTTACACGAAAACGTCACTATATTATTTATATAATAAAACCAGTAAATTACGCGTAGTAGTAAAAAAAAATTGACTATTCTTTGGGCTTTTACATAATTCGATTAGAAAAAGTGTTTAATCTATCTTGGTTATTTTATTGGAAAAACTTGTTCGTTGAAAAGATTCATCGTGAGCTGCATAGATTCTCCAGGTATACATAAACCAGAGAGAGTAAATTCAATTCGGTCAACCGTATGATTGCAAAATGTAGAATCCCAAGCGCGAACGTATCTATCCCCCATTCTATCAACGCAGTTTGAACCATACGTAATTTCTCATTTTATAGACGCCCCTTACTCCTCTTGCGCCAAATTTGCAATCCTGGAAAGTTCTGGAATTTTGTATATTTATTTAGCAAGAATTAAGCTTTTGATTTATTACTGAAAAGATTGTTATAGAAAATTCGTAGTTTAGTAATTCTTTTGCTTTTATTTTTAAATAAAATAAATAATTTAAAAAATCTATATAAAAGCTAAAGTTGTTTTGATTTACTTATATAATTTACTTTATTAAATTTATTATCGATATTTTAAATTTTACTTTTTTTAATTATAGTTTATATTATTCTTTTTTTTTTATTTTTATTCTTTTTTTTATTTTGAGCTTTTTATATTTTGAATAATCTTATTGGTTTCTTTTTTCTAAGTCATTTTTATATTTTATTAAAGTAAAAAACAATTTTGACTCTTATATTGGCATAACAAATAATCGTAACCAATCAGGATATCGAACCTTCGGTTTTCCTTCCATTATATGTATTTTGATTTTGTGTTGCGATCTATTTAATTTCTTTGTTACGAAGTTCGATTGCTAGTTTGTAGTTTTGTTTGGCGTGATTATTTTTTGTGTGTCTTTCC